CGCATCCGGCCCCCGGGCCTTAGGTTGCCTACCCCTGATATAACCCATTAAACGGTGAACTTGTTCCCCTGTCCTCACACTGTCCTGTATGGACAACACAGGCCAACAGCCCCAGGCCAGAATCGGCCAGTGCAGAAGCTGATCTGGTGGTCCCAGACTGATCCCAACCCAAAGGGCCCTTAGTGTGGGCAAAAAGACCAGCTGTTTACCCCTGAGTTTTTTGAAAACTTCACCGCAACAGCCAGCACACCACACCACACAGCCTCATATACCCCTTACCAGCTGTTGCCATTGCATCTTCCTGAAGGCCCTCATTGCAGCCTATGATATCGGATGGCAGCACCTGGCCATGTGAGAATTGCCAGGTGCCCTGTTTCCACCCTTACAGGCCGCGACGGCAACCTTCAGGGAAGATACAATGGTGGCAGCAGGTAAGGGGCACAAGGTGGCAATGGCTTCATGGTACGGTGATGCACAGGTATGTAAATACCCACCCATTGCTGCACTGGCCTGGGGACTGACCAGGGTTGGAACCAGAGGCAGGAGATCACAGCCAATATATTAAAGCTTGCATTTCTGTGGTCCAAAACACACTGCAGAAATAATCCAGTTTGTAGTTTGTCGTGTGGTACCTGAGCTCTCCGACAGAGAAGTTTTTATATTGTAAAGCAGGGGTAAGCAACCTAAGGCCCGGGGGCCGGATGCGGCCCTCTGAGGCCTTTGGACTGGCCCCAGGCCGGTCCTGCTGCCGCTGCTGCCGCCCGCCATGATGATATTGGTTATTGTTGTTATTGCTTGTTCTTGGGGTTTTCTTGGCAAAATCTCCACAGGGGTTTTGCCATGGCTTGTCTGGGGCTGAGAGAGTGTGCATGCATATTTTTATTTATTTATTTATTTATTTATTTAAAAAAATATTTATTTATTTATTTATTTATTTATTTTTGATGCTTCGGCCCCCCCCAGTGGTCTGAGGGACAGCAACCCGGCCCCTGGCTCAAAAAGGTTGCCTACCCCTATTGCAAAGAAAACAAAATACTGTATTTTCCGGCGTATTAGACGACTTTTTAACCTGGAAA